ATCATCTCAGCCTAGCCGTAGATTCAGTAACCAAGCATAGGATTAGTTAATGTTCTTTATGCTTGGACCAAAGGGTAAAGAATAGGTATGCTCCTATTTGGCACAATATAATTTGAACTAATTCATTTTATCTATTCACTTTAATTTCTTGACAAGGAGAATGATGTTTTCTTATATATTGAATTTCACATTAGAAAATTTATTAGTAGAATTAATTAATTAAGAGTTTGTTAAAATTACATATTTATTTTAATTACCTATTAATGACAAATAAGCAATTTGAACTATATTGTTGTGATTAAGTATTGATTTTCTAAATCCTAGTTCGTAGCTTCTAGTATTACTCCCTGTGGGATCGATATCCAGGACTCCGTTAGAGCCCTGTATTACTTGAGCGATACGTATACTTGCGTTGATAGGTGCAACTTTGCAATTATTGAATATTTTATACACATTTTTATCAAATCTATAACAGTTGTCAAGTTTTTGGCACCATTGTTGGGACTTAAATATTCTAGCCAAATATCAAATTCTTGTATTTTTAAGCATATATAAAGTCGCTGTCACCGATGATGGATTTTGCTGCATTGTCTGATCGACGTCAGTGATATATCCAGTGAGATGACGATGAGGCGGGTGACGACATCGTTGGTGCCGACATAGAAGGATACAACGTAGGAAGTAAGAATACAACTACAATAGGAGCCTTGTATAGATGGAGATTTATCACATTCTTCTTTTGAAAATTAAGAACACAGCATCATCGCGTTCTTCCTCAACAACTCCAGATTGATCGCCGCGTAGCTGAGTAACGAGCTTGTCGTCATATGGCACATGTTGAGGAAGATCAGGTACTTGAAGCCATAGTTGCTTAGCAAGTACTTGTTTAACAACAACATGCCAATGTTGGATGAGTACCAGGAGATCACCAATCCCGCAGCGAACAGTTGATCGGTAACCGACGGGCTCTGTGAGATCAGCTTACCGCTCATCCTCTCGTCTTCTTCTAAAAATGGAGATTGGCTCCTTCTGCTCTTCCTTCGGCGAAGATCTGTGATTAGGATGTCGCCCTGCTGCTGAGGTTGGTGGAAGGAGGATTCCTGCAATTTGTTGCGGGAGCATTACCCAGAAGATCGTTGGATCGAAGGAGATCTCATAGAAAAAAAATAAGTAGGGGTTCTCCAATTCAATTGCAGTTGAGATTAAGATGAGTGTCCCTCTCTTCCCGCACGAAGGATGGCAAGAAGGGAGTCCGACAGTTCTATAAAAAGAATCAGTGGCTATGGTATGAAATTAGGCTCTGATACAATGTTGAAATTTTAGAATAATGTGGAATACTATATTATTTCATTAATATGAACGGGGGTATAAATAACTCTTACAAGAATTCTATAATAGGAAAAATAATAAAAAAATAATATAAAAAGAAAGATATTTTACATGATATCTCTAAATGATATAAAAAGAAAGATATTTTACATGATATCTCTAATAATTATCATATTAATTATTAGGAGATATAAGAAATAACATAAAATTAGAAAATAAATAATTCCTAATTCAAGGAAATAAATATAAAATAGAAAAAAAATATCTCTTTATATTAAAAAAATAATTTATTTCTTATAACTTCTTACATGAATAAATTATTCTCTATTATAATTCTTAACATATTTGATTCATTTGTGTGCTTCAAAATACTTGCTTCTTTGCAAATAAATTTGGATATATGGATTAATGGACCAAAATGCTTCTATATGGATTTATGTCCTATTTAATTTTTTTTGTTAATACTAAGTTGTACTGATTTTATTGAAATAACGGTGGAGCAGTTTGGACGACCACAAAAATTTGTTGTCGGCAACCGCTGCTTCCATACTTCGGTAAGTATACTTTTTATATTTCCTCAATTTTTTGATGGATCTATTCTATTTTTAAAAACTGCAAGAAGATGAGTTCCAGATATTCAGGGAAGTCCGAGAAAGTGATGTGTCAGTGCGGGCTACCGCCTTTGCTACTCACGTCACACCAGCCACATAGCTTCGGGAGGCAATTTTACAAGTGCCCGCGGTGGGCACACCGACAGGAGGACTGCACTTTCTTCAGGTGGGCCGACATGAAGTATGTTTCTATGATATCCTAACTGGACACCGCTGCTTAGGGTCTGTCGATATCAAAATTTTAAAACATCGCATCAGGTTCGAGTGCTTTCATTTCTACTTCATCACAGTCGGATAGGTTTGCTCAGGGTTCTGGAGTGTTAGAGCCGGGCAGCATGGGCCGTAATATGCTGCTACATTTTAAAGTCAACATTATAATTTTTTTTCTTGTCATTTTTACATGTTATTTTTTTTTTGGGTCTCATTATAGTCCATATTAGTATGTGAAACTGCATTTTACTTTTGTATGAGTAACTTTGCTCGTTTGATGTGATCACATATATTTGAGTTATATAAATGTAAGTCAACTTTTTTGTATTTTCTTGTCTTAACATTTGATTTTTAATTTTGTTGAGATAACAACAAATTCTGCTACATAGATTATTCATTCAACTAAAAAAAATTCTAAATGAGCTGTTTACAAAACATGCAAACCAAATAACTAAACAACTTATTCAGAACAAAGACAAAATGATCATTTTTCCAGAATCAACTGTTTTCTAAACACAAAACAAACAACTAGACAACTTATTCGAATCAACTGCTCATCAGCAGATTATCAGGATAAACTGCTTATCAGCATAAGCTGGATAAGCTACAGCTGCCTTAAACAAACCCTAAACAATTTATGCATTCATAATAAACCAATATTTAAAATTCCAAGACTTCAAAAAGGTATCAAAGTTGTAAGAGGCTAAATCTAAAGAAAGATTAAATAAACTTCAAGTCACTGAATTGTGTCACTTCAATTTCATCATGATCATCTAGTCTGATTTGAATGAGTAACGAAAAAAGAGCAATTCCCATAATTTTAATACAGAGAAAAGATAAAAATAACCACCAACTTTAGCCATTTTTATAAATTTGCCCACTATGTCATAATAGTTAATTAAAATTGGAAATCACAATCAACTCAAATATCTGAATAATTGAGAGAAAAAAATTCAGATGAATGTTTCACTCTTTTTCGTTCTCATATAAAATAAAAATATTTCTCAACAAGTTTGCTTCATACATCATAATAATTTTTGCGAGGATAAAAGCATAACAATCAAGAATGAAATGACAAAATTTCAATCTCTCCAAAAAAAAAGTTTTGCTCGTTGCAATGTGAACTGAAAGTTTAACAACGAATTCCGAATGCCTTCTCATCGTTCTCCAGCTATGATGTAGAATAGCGGAGTTCTTCACCTACCAACACGAGATTCTATAACACTATGAGCCACCGTATACAACAACAAAAGGTGACCAGAGGGACCTCACATCTGGATGAGTTAAGGTATATGGGTAGACAAAAGTCACACGAGATGGGGAACGTTGCAGCAAATGTTATATTTCTTCGCACGAGTTAGAGCGGAGAGCAACGAAGAAAAAATTGAGCGTGGAATATGTAAATAATAGGTATTGGGTGTGGATATATAATTATAACTTTTTTAAGTGCTATGAATGTAAAAATCTTTTTTTTAGCATTTTAAATATTAAATAATTTATTTTGAAAAATAAAAACTAAAATAGGCAAATAAGTATATTTTATTTTATTTTAAAAGATAATTTCATCAAATAATTTCTTTTTACAAAAAAAAATAAATAAACAAATATTATTCAAGTTATTATTGAGAGGCTTTGGGTGTTAGACATTCAAAATATTAAATATAACATTATAATTCTTCATAATTTTCTTTTAAAATTTTTATGAGTGGGTTTAAGCAGATAATTATTGTTAAATATTTTAAATGATCGATACTTAAAATTATTATTTTTTATAAACAACGAACATACATGCAAGTTATTTCTTATAGCAGGAACCGAAAGACAGGCTCGCATATTTCTCGGCATTGCTGCGGTTCGCCGCGTGCTCAAAAAAACCCAAAGATTTTCAAAACCCTAACAATTCCTTCGGACGGAAAACGATGGCGGCCACCCTCGACGATGAGAAGATCAAGAACATCACCCGCCAGGCAAGAGGAATTTGTGTTCTTTTCCTTGTTTCAGCTTTCCCCTGTGATGTTGGGGCCAAAATCCAGTTTTTATGAACTTTTTTGTAGGTTGAGTTTTATTTCAGCGACAGCAATCTGCCGCGGGACAAGTTCTTACGAACTACTGTGGAGCAAAGCGAGGATGGGTGTATCCTAAGACCAAAATTCAATCTTCAGAATTACGACTAACGCGATTATTGTAATTTTAACATTTCGATATTGTTTTTGCAACCTTGACCTTCGGTTAAGTGGTGGACTTGGGTTTGATCTGCTCTTTTTCGCGAATGAGAAATTATCTTGGTATTGGGGAGGTGAAGCCGGAGGAGGTGTCGGAGGAGACAGTGCTTGCCGTTGCGGAGGTCCTGAGGAAGTCTTCTTTACTCAGAGTTTCAGAAGATGGTAGGTTTCTTATTCAAGTTTCCTTCTGTGAATGTATATTAAGTTGGGAATTTTTTCTACTCCTGTGTTCGTAAACATGCTTGAGGCTTGTTATTTTTTAGCTAATTTATGGTTTATTGCTCGGCATACCTTGTGTATCTCATGTATAAGCTTAGAGGCCTTTTGGATCACTTTTATTTATTTATTTTAAATTTTTTAATGTTTTGATTTGAAGTAAAACATATTTGGTGGTGATAATTATTCTAAGAACACTTAAAACACGTAAAATTTGCTTTCAATGTTTTTAAGAAGAAGTTGATTAGATTTAAAAATAAAAAATAAAAACATTTGAAAAATGCACTAAACAAATATGTTTTTAAAAGCAAAAGAGAAACTAAAATGAAAATATAAAATAAAATTGATCATGAACATGATCTCAGTAAAGGAGAAATTATTAGGAGCAGACAACATATATATGCTTACATGAGAAGGCCCATGATAATCTGATAGCTATAGATCAATATTAAAATTTTTTTTTTTGGGTAAAATGACTTGAAGCTAAAAAGTAGTTTTTTTTTTATTTTGAATTTTCTCACATTTTACTTTTTTTTTTTAAGAGAAGGATAGAGCATTAAGCTGCAACATCGAAACACTGTGATTACTCAATATTCTCCAATAATGTTAGAAGAAACAAAAACAATGTTAGTTGATGTAATGCTTGAAATTTCTACAAAATCAGTTGGAATAAATATGGTGATAATTTCAACAAAGATTGATGATTTCGGAATTTCCACAGTGTGTTTCTCATAAAGCATACAAAATTCCACCTCTTTTATTGTATTCTAAAAATTGAAATTTCTCTTAACTAGTGGTTGCCAATTATTCAAACTAAATGTTTTGTGGAAATTTAATTAATTTTAAGTGTCATTCACAACGATGCATAACCCTTGTAGACAGAATAAGAGTTGTAAATAACTATGTACATGTTTGTACGTGTCTTATTGTAATTTAATTTATTCTAGCTGATGTGCTTAGTTGTTTATAGCCTTCAAAATTTGAGTAATAGATTATTCTAAATCATTTTTATTTTTGTTAAATGAATCTCGGAGCTTAATAGAAACCTTAATGCTAAAGCCAATTTAAATGCCACGGACATGTTGATGACATTGAGAAGGTCGAACTTCTGAATGTCATTATTTCATTGAGGATGGAGCATTTGATATATGCTATGATTATTCTCATCATTGGATTCAGTAAGGTTGCTGACGGTGGTCATTAGTATTTAATATTTAATGATGGTGAGATTTAATGTGGATGAGGATATTAATTATTAAGTTATCAATTTTTGTTAAAGTCGTATTCCTGCTTCAACAAAGCCATAATATCAACTGTTGACAAATTTTATTATCTGATTGAGGAAATTACTGGAGTAGAAAAAAAAATGATTTTCAGACTGAGATGCATAATTGTATTCAAAAGGAGAAAATGACTAGAATAAAAAAAAAATGATTTAATGTTATTTGATGAAAGAAAAACACAAGATAATATGCTTGCATGAGATGCTTATATTGTTATATTTGATAGATTTGATGATATTTTTTTTTGGATTTATAACATGAGAAGAGTAGATTATGATTCTTTTGGACTTGAAATTATTTTAACACTAGTTATAAACTAAGCAAATATAATTTTGCATTTACTCTCTTCCTTTGGTGTCAATCATTATTGGAAAATTTTTTATTCGATGCAACATTTTTATCAGAGGAACTATTAAATCATTTACTAGTCTTTTTTTAAAAAAAATATAAGAATTATGATGGCAAGCTTGCTAAAACATTATACATAGATTAAAGATTAAGTCATGACTAGAGCTCTTGATCGTTAGAAGCTCAGTTGCTTCAATAGAAGCGAAACTATCCAAAGATTATTCCACAAATGCGGTAAAATGATTAAGATGGGTAAAAATTGTATGATTTAGAGGAGAAATTTGAGAAAATGTGGTAAAATGAGAAATAAATGATTAATAAAGGATGCATTCATAGTCAGTAGTCACCCTTGGCTAAATGAGTTTTGATGGTTGTTTGGCTAAATGAGTTTTGATGGTTGTTTATAATGTTCTATGTTTGTAAGGCTATACACAGCTATTTATAACATAAAAAAATGAAGAATTTGACTATAAACTATTGTATATAGCTTGGCAAAACTGTCATGCTATGTTTTTTAATGCTGTTATTGATGCGCACAACACAAAATGAAGTTTTTGCAACCTACCATACACAATTCTGCTCAATACTTGTTTTCTTTTGAAGTCTAGATACAACAATGTATAGTAAAATAAAAATAAAATAGGTTGCTAATAAATTCATGCAATTGTTTACATCCTCCTTGTCTTATGTTGTCAAGGACGTACATAGCTGTGCACAATAAAAAAATAAAATAAAATAATTTGATTTAGAACTCCTATACATAGCTAAGTACAACCACTGTTCTGTGTATACAATTAAATATAATGAAGAAAAAAAAGAGAAATAAGTTGCTAATAAACTCAACTAGAAAGGTTCGTATGTAGCAGTGTACAATAGAAAATTAAAAGATGTTTTGCACAACATATATTATGTGTTTTGAAAGAAATATAATTATGTTAAACACAAAACTAAGTTAGTTGTTAATAATCTTCTATATCTATTGTTTTGCCTTTTTAAGCTTGTACACAATTGTGTGCGACACCCAAAAAAAAGATGCTAAAAAGCACATTTATGCAATTTTGTAGATCATTTATTATAAGCTTCTTAAGATGTGCCATGCAACACAAAAATGAAAGAAGCTAATGAATTTATGAAAAAAACTGTGAACATTTTTTCTTTTTGGTTTTTGAAGTTGTACACAATTGCGTAAAACAGAAAGAAAGTAAGAAGATGCTGCAGCACTTTTGGACACAGCTGTGTATGACACTTCAAGTTGTACACATTTGTCTACTACACCAAAAAATGAATTTCTAATGAAACTTCTATATATCATTGTGTACGACCTTTGTTTTGTCTTTTCAAGGATATATACCATTGTGTATGCCATCTATTTGAAGTTTTTCAAGGCTCTAGACAATTTTGTATAACCAAAAGTTTAACTTGCTAAAAAACTTTTGTACACAGTTGTGTATAACCTTTATTTAGTATTTTTGATATATACAAAATCATGCATAACACCAAAAATAAAAACAATTTTCTAGAAACTGCAAACAACTATGTATGACAACTATTTTTATTTTTAAGGCTATGCACAATTGAGTATTGTAAAAAAATGAAGTTACCAGTAAACTCTACACACAACTTTGTATAATTATTTTGTGTTTTCAAGGTTGTATATAAATGTATATGACAAAAAGTGAAATGAGTCGCTAATAAATTACTATTCATAGTTATATATAACCCTTTTAGTTTTAGTAGCATATATCGCTATGCACGACACTAAAAATAAAGCAATTTGCACATAGTTGTGAACACACATTTTTGTGTTATTTAGGTTTTACATGATGTATATTATACAATCCATATTAGTTATCAATAAATTTCAAGGGAAGACGTTGATGATTCCTTGTTTAGTTGAAGCTCAAGAAAGAAAGTTCTTTAGCGTCACCGTTTTATAGGCTTACAAAAGTTGATCTCGTACAAATTATGTTTAGTATATTTACCCATGTTGCTGCTCCCCTATAAAATCTATCTCCTTATAAAATTCATACCACTTTCATTTTTGGCTTGCTTTTTCATCTTAGGTTAGTGCATTTATTTTTCCTGGGCATTGGGACAGTTGCTGGGTTAACATTGATTTCACGCCTAGACTACAACTGTTATCTGCAAATAATAATTTTTTCAGTTAAACATCATTCATGGTGTACTACATTTTATTCATGTAATGATTTTCTTAACTGGACTTACTGGTTTGCTGATATAATTTCAAAGACGGCTGTATCACATCTAGGTCTTTGTTTGATCATTTCTTTTATTAAAAGGAGCATTTACATACATACCCTTGTTGACCTCATATTTGACGAGGTTTAATTTTCTTCTTAGGGTTTAGGGTATAGTTTTATGATTCTCCTTTTCACTATCTTAGAGCCTTAGTAACGAGACCCACCTCATTTTAGAGATCTAAACTGCTTCTTTACTCTTTTAGAGTTTCACATGTGTGGTTCTTGACCTCTAGTACTTAGGAGGTTGAAACCAACACGAGAGAACTCAAAAGGAGTCCCCATAGAATCATTAAGCCCTAGGATTCCCTTATTCACAATTCGCAGCTTCACGCATACAAATATCACAATTTAGACTGCCGACACACTTAAATATCACAATTTACATCACCTACATCTGTAAAGGCTTCATAATTAATCGAAACTAAAAATAAAATTTTGAAACGATCGATCGCGAGCCTGAAATTTTAATAAAATCGAATTTGACGCATTCTTTGACTCGATCATCGATGAAGTTTTCCGAACAGTCCCAACTGACGAAATGGACCACGCCGACGCGTACGGAGCATCAACTTTAGCCAGGAATGACACCAATTTTGATATGATTCCGAACGGGATCAAATTGTGCTCGAATCGACGAAACTCAAGGGAAATAAAAAAAAAGAAAATTCCTAATTAATTCCCTAACTCATGCATACAAACTTACGCTCACGCCTCTCCCTCGCTGTTTCTTCTTCATTCGACCCGAGCCGTGACACATTTCTCCCCCTCTCGTGGGTGCGATTCCCCTTCTCGGGTGTTGTACCTCCACGCTCTTTCCTGGGTTACTCATGTATTTGCTTACAATTCTCACTGCATGAGTAATATCCTGCCCCCTGCTGAAAGCTATTTTCAACAAGTTCAGCCTTGTACCTCTTACTACCACCAAGCGCAGTCTTTGTTCGGTACATTCACTTGTTGTGCACTGCCTTCTTCCCGGGTGAAAGTTCTGTCAGATCCCAAGTCCGATTCCCTGACAGGGAATCCGTCTCCTTCTTTTTGGCCACCTCTCACTTGC